AAACTGTAACAATATGTTCGAATAAACAGACCTGAGGCATGACCTCACCTTAACTCCAAAAAAAAAAAAAAAAAAAACAATTTTATACTTCAAAATATTTACACAACTTGTTTATTTTAGGTAATAATAAAAAAAAACCATAAAGTAATTTTGAAAATAATACAAGAAATAGGAAGAGATTCTTTTCAAGAAGAATCCATACAGGTATTTAAATATCTTCATCAAGTTATTCAGCTGACCTCTGCCTTATCCTAAAATGCAAAAAAGAGATTCATTAAATTGATTATTAAGAAAATAGAATAATGAAACTATATATTTCTATTGTGTTTTTTAGTTTTTACTTAAATAATATCTTTAGCAAGAAACTAAAATATAGAATATGAATTTTATATATATATATATTTATAAATTTTTATACAATTACAATTTTATTAATTCGTAACTCTGGTAAACATAATTTTGGTAGAATTGATTCATAACTCTTGTAAGCATAATTTTGGTAGAATTAGTTCATATTTCTGATAGGATTGTATTTTTTAAAATTACATTTCCCATTCTTCTGCCTTCTTCATATAAACAAATCTCAGAACTGAATAAACTCATAATGAAAAGCATCAAATGCAATTCAAATACACTACCATAATACTCAATATTCCAACAAGCATATTCTATACATGGCCTACAAGCACCTGTGCTCACAGATATATTAGCAGCATGTATGATTAATACATGGATCAAACTCTTAACTGGAAACTCCCTATAGGCAAAAATAGAATAAGACATTATAACATAGCAAATTTCTAACAATAGAGAAGTCTCAATAAACATAGCTTTATCTTCCAGTCCTATAAAAACTAAAGCCTGGCCTGACAGATGGAAACCCTTCATCAAGGCTTGGAAAAAAATAGAAGAGTCAATTGGCAAAAATAAAGAACTATGGCTCTGGACTCCCAAATCTATATCACTAGCAAATGAACAGGGTAATACATATTCAGTTAAAAAAATAGTAGAGTTTCTTAGAAACAAGTCAATTAGTACATTGATTACACAGAACAATTTAACAAAAAAATATTCAAATTTAGTGATGCTATTTCATTGTAACTAGATTCCTAATAAAAGAACAGATATCCTATACAGACTGCTTCACAGAGCACTTCCACTAGGCTATCATCTAAAACATATGAACACAGCAGAAAATGGTAATTGCATATGGTGTAAAGAACTTCAAACTATCGAGCACTTTACTTTTGAATGCCCCATCAGTCAACATGTTTGGAATATAAATTATTAAATGTTGAATAATACTTCAAATATAACAATACCCACCTCTTTCAATGATATTATATTTTGTACTCAACTCTCCTTAGCAAGTATTGAAAGAGCAGTCAAATGGTTAAATATTAATATGTTTATGAAATCTGGCACCTATACACCTCCACTAAATGGGTTAATAATATAACAAACATTACTAATATCCTGGTTATTATAACATACCATTTAAATAGAAAACTCATGGTTCTCTAACAACTTCCCCAAACTGTAAATAAAAATCTTCATTTGACCTTAAAATTTCTTAAAATTATAAAATAATATGTAAAATCTTCACTGTGCATAATAAAGCATTATAAGTGCACCTTATATATTAAGGTAAATTCAAAAAAAAAAAAAAAATTATGAATCAAAAATTATATGCGTGATTATATTATATGTTTTCAGATAGTTTAATATAGAGGTCTGCAACCTGGGCTCATGCCCATGCCCAACAAAAAATACAGGCATGGGCATGAGCATAAAAGCTTAGGTATGGTCATAGGCATAGGCATGAAAGCTTAGACATAGGCATGGGCATAGGTATGAAATTCAGGCATAGGCATGGGCATAGGCATAGAATGGCATAATCATGGGCATAGAATGGGCATGGGCATGGGCATGGACACAAGCATGGGCACAGGCACAGGCATGGGCACAGACACAGGCATGGGCATAGGTAACAGGCATGGGTACAAGCACAGTTAGAGATTGTACCCGGCAAAATTTTCACTCTGGGTTATTCACTCATTTACTAAATGAATATCGAGTCACAAACTGGGTTATATAAAATGATCTGAGTAACTCAGGTGACCCAGTTAACCTGATTACACTTAGTAAGAAAATATTTTAACACTAATCTCTTTTCTATTATTTTCCTTTACATAGTGAAATATTGTGATTAGCTAATAAAAATTATACTAGAAAAACATGCCTATATTAAAATTTATAAAAATATAACAGAACTTAATATCTGTTTTTAACTGATCAGTAATTGGTCATTTCAAAGCTTAAATGACTTTAGAAAGTCATTTAACTTATGTAAATTGATAATCTAATGTTTTTTGGCCAATCAAAATTGATTATTAGACAAAAATTAAATTTTATAAAATATAATCGATAATTGTAGCTACATATAAAAGACAAAGTTAATCGTTATTTCCATTTTAAGTTTTTTCAGAAGAACAAATTGCATATATCTTAAGATTTTTATACAATTTTAATAACTTTTTTTTAAGTCAAATTTGTGTTTTACGTTTGTATAAAAAAATTTTAAATTTTTTATGCAAATGTAAAACACAAATTTGACTTAATAAAAAGGTATTGAAATTATATAAAAATTTTAAAGTATGTGCAATTTTTTCTTCCAAAAACTTTACTTAAGACATAAATATCAATTAACTTAGTAAAATTTTGACTTTTATATGTTATTATTATTATATATTAGTAAAATAATACCAATCAAGTTTGTTAAATGAAATAAAAAAAATATTTAAACTTTAATACTCATCTTATCACATATAATTTACAGTACATTGGAAAAATTGAAGTGGATGCAGCTTCAAAATATATATGAACGTTAATATTTACAATACAAAAGAATCAAAAAATATCGATATTATGACTTAGAGAGTTAAATGCTAGTGATCACTTGATAAATATAGTTTTGTAACAAGAACACAGTACATTAGATTAACAAAAATCTCATTACATCACATTTTATGAATAACTATTTAGATCACCTAGGTAGCAATAGTCATAATCTGGTTACAGGTCTTAGATGGATTACTCGAGTAACTTTTATACAGATACAATCACTATCACTATACCAGATAATAATTTAGCAGAAACATTGTGATCATACTCTAATGTATTATAACCAGTTAACTATTAGGTTACCTGGATAACCAAATTATAAAATTGATAAAAAGATTAATAATCAAGATATCTGGTTAACTTAAAAGATAAAACAAGATAAGGTGATACAGATAAAATAAACTGGTTTACATAACATTTGAAAAATTTTTGGACCCAGCTGCCCAGAGGTTTTTTTTATATATATAAAATTTTTTATAAGTAACTAATATATAACCCATTACTTCACTAATGGTTATATTATATTAATTTAGTAACAAAATCTAGTCAGATAGTTTATTAAATATTTATTTATTTATTAATTTCATTATCAAATATTACTAACAAAAATCTCAAAATTTAGTTATCCAACATACATATATAGATAAAAAAAAAACATAAAAAATACTTTATAACTACCGTATCCCAATTCTAACTATATATATACTATGTATATATTTCAAATCTAACTACTATATCTAACTATATACAGTCTACCATATATTTTGAATCTAACTACATACTAACTACTGCACTACATCTAGACCTAATTACTATATCTAACTATATACTATATATTTCGAATCTAACTGCTAACTACTGTACTATGTCTAGAATTTAATTACTATATACATTTCGAATTCAACTACGTACTAACTACTGCACTACATCTTGACCTAATTACTATATACTATATATTTTGAATCTAACTGCTAACTACTGTACTATATCTAGAATTTAATTATTATATACATTTCAAATTCAACTACTAACAACTGCATTACGTCTAGAACCTAATTACTATATATATTTCAAATCTAACTACTAACTATTGCACTACGTCTAGAACCTAATTGCTATATACATTTTGAATCTAACTACTAACTACTGCATTATGTCTAGAACTTAATTACTATATACATTTCAAATCTAACTATTATGATATATCTAGAATTTAATTATTATGCTACTTCCAGAATCTAACTACCATGCTAAATCTAGAATCTAACACCAAATAATTATGTGTTTTTTTAGTTTTTTTTTATTTATTTTTAATAAAAATATTAAATAAGTGCCATCTAGAAAAACCTATTATCAAGTTTTCAATTATATTTTGTGTCAGACACAATTTCCAATAAATTAAAGATTGTGTCTGATACAAAATATAATTGAAAGCGTGATGACAGGTTTTCCATTGATGATACTCGAATATGATTAGAGGTTGTTAATTTTATTTTTGAATTAGTCAACATTGCAAGTCAGGATATAATGAAATTCAGTAGTATTCGGATATAAATTAAGGTATAACCGTTAACCTCTTACCTCAATAGGATATAAAACTGGTTATTAGGTTTTGTTAAGAGTTATAACCTTTCAAATAAAAAGTTAACCAGGTATGACCACTAGTTAAGAATTCATAATTAGCCATAAAGATTATGACAAATAAGCTATTTTTTCTATATATTTAATCAAACTTTTTTTTTTTTTTTTTGAACTGATATAATTTGAAATCTATATGCTTGATACTTAGTACTCATAGTAACTATAATAGTACCAGGCTTTTAGTGCCCATAGCCCTGGCACTTAGTGCCCATAACACCTGGCATTTAGGGGTCTGCAACCCGAGCTCGTGCCTGTGCCCAACAAAAAAGCTAGGCATGGACATAGAAATTGGATATTTATTATTTAATTGTGTCTGGCACTTTGCCCGGCACCTGTGCCCGGCACCTGTGCCCGGCACCTTGTGCCTAGCATTTTGTGCCTACGGTATGCCTTTAATAGTGCTTGGCACTTTTGTGCCTATAGGCATAGGCGTGGCATAAGGCACTAGTGTCCGGCCTGTTGCCAATGTGCTGGGCATAGGCATTTGCAGACCTCTATATAGTGCCTGACACTTAGTATCTATAGTGCCAGTACTGTGCCCACAGTGCCTATAATAGTGCCCATAGTGCCTATAATAATGCCCATAGTGCCTATAATAATGCCAGGCACTTTAGTGCCTGTGCCTATTATAATGCCTGGCATTTGTGCCCATGCCCATAGTAATGCCTGGCACTTTTGTGCTTTTGGCATAGGCATAGCATGGGGGCACTAATGCCTGGCATAGTGCCAATATGCCAGGCATGAGCATTTGCAGAGCCCTAAATAAAACCGTCTTATGTAAAGGTAAACTTAAATTAAATTTCTTACTGACCTTAGATTACTTATATCATCATATAATGCATTTTTCGTTGCTTTTTTCATTTTTTTAAAAAAATTTCTTGACATATTTGTAGTGGTTTTGACAATGATTGCTAATGTAACGATCGGAAATGGATCGTCGCTGCATTAGACATAAACTAGATCGGTTGCATATTCGTTTGGGTCAGTGTACTTCTATATTAGGTAATATTAGCAGATTGAGTAGATTTAGCATAACTAGCATAATTAGCATAACGAGCATAATTAGCATAACTAGCAGATATGTAAATACTATATAAACACAAGGCATTGATTATAATAAAGTCAGTCACAGGAGGGTCTCATATAGAGTCTCGCATACACTCTATAAAGGATACATTTGCCTCTGCCAAATCCGCGCCCTCTTTCGAGGTACAGTAGTATCGTTCACGTTACGCAAACCGTCCCGGGTTACCCTATGAATAGGGATTTTCAAAGGGACGATACTTTTTGAAATATTACACTAATACATATAGAAAAGTTATTATTATTATTATTATTATTAAAGTTATCATTATTGCTACGGTTAACGTTTCAAAGTAGCTGATTTCGATATACATATTCTTCATTTTTGAATTTTAAATATTTTTGAATTCTTTTTTTTCATTTTTGAGGCTTATCAATATTATGATAGCCTCAATTACAAGCATAAGCTCTGGAAATTTTCCATCTTATGAACTTTAAAAAAAAATTATTATAATTGAATCTTCAATATTTTCAGTACATTTAGCTAAACACGCAAGGATAGTAATAATGCTTAAATAAGGTAATAATGTCAGGGCTCACTAGAAGACCGATGAGACATATCTTTTTACGGCTTTAATATTGCCATAAAAATTTTGCATAACAAACATTCAGTCACCTGAAAACAATATTTAAAAAAAGCTAACACATCAAAATTAATATCATATTCAACCCTTTAAAAAATGATTTAAAAAGTTATGGAGAATTATTGTCACTGATAAAAAAATTCAACAGATCCAAGAAATTGCTTGTTTTCATAAGTCAATATAATTTAAACATCAAAAAATGACATCGAATTCACCTGAAATGTCTGAAATATATGATAGTATCGTAAATCCGGGAATGAAAATTGTTCTCTCAGATCCTCCCCCCTCGCGTGAACCTAATAATTGGCTTTGTTGTAGTTATGTAAATTTAGACCCAAATGATTTTATGGCACTATATAAACGTGCACTAACTCTTATACAAATAGAAAGTTTTGATGAAGCACTTGTGAATTTAAATAAATTACTAGAAATGGAATCTAATGATTTGCTTTCGCTTATTAATCGTGGAATACTTTATTTAAATTTAAATAAATATGAAGAAGCACTTTTAGATCTTAATAAGTCACTGGAGATAGAGCCAAATAATGCATATACATTAGTGGTTCGTGGGAAAATTTATAATAAATTAAATAGACATGAAGAAGCGCTTACAGATCTCAATAAATCACTGGCAATGGAATCAGACAGTACATGTAGAATACTATTTTCTGGAAAGTCAGAGGATGAGAGAATGGATAAAATTTTATTAATATATCGTGGTCAAACTTATTATGAAATGAATAAATACGAAGAAGCACTTATAGATTTCAACAAGTTACTAGAAATGGAGCCATGTAATGAATATGCATTAGGAATTCGTGGTGAAACTCATAATAAATTGAATAAATTTGAAGAGGCACTTGTAGATTTTAATAAATTTCTTGAATTAAAACCAGATAATGAATATATATTAAGGATCCGTGGAGAAACTTATAAAAAATTGGGTAAATATGAAGAAGCGCTTATAGATTTTAATAAATTGCTTGAAACAAAACCAGACAATGCATATATATTAAGGATTCGTGGAGAAATTTATAAATGTTTAGGTAAATATGACGAAGCGCTTACAGACTTCAGGAAGTCACTAAAAATAGAACCAGACAATGAAAATTCGTTAATGATTTATGGAGAAACTTATCGATTTTTTGGTAAATATAATGATGCAATTTTAGATTTTCACAAATACTTGGAAATAAAACCAGATAATGTAGCAGCTTTAGCAGAACGTGGGATTACTTACTATTGTCTTCGTAAATTTTGTAAAGCACTTACGGACCTTAATGAGGCATTTAAACTAGGACCTGATAATGCACTTATTTTACGAGGGCGTGGATCAACACTCAGAGCATTAGGTAAATATGATGAAGCGCTTTCAGATCTTAATAAGTCACTGGAAATAGAACCGGATAACGCTTGGGCGTTGAGAAGTCGTGGAAAAACTCATAGATTAGTAAGAAAATATGAAGAGGCGCTTACGGATTTCAATAAAGCGCTGAAAATTAAATCGAATAATGCCTTCTCATTAAGAAATCGAGGTGTAACATATTTAATGCTGAATAAATATAGTGAAGCGCTCTCAGATCTCAATAAATCCTTAGAACTCAAACCAGATAACACTTTCGCATTAAGGAATAGGGGTATAACCTATAAAATCTTGAACCAGTACAATGAAGCAATTTCGGACTTTAATAAATTATTAAAACTTAAGCCAAATAATGCTTCGGCACTAAAATTATGTGGAGAAATTTGCATTGAACACGAGAGAGCGCTTTTAGATTCTAATGGACGAGATCGTGGAAAAACCTATGTAGACGCATTAAATAATCTTGGAGAATATTATAAAAATACTAGCAATTATCAGAGGGCTCTTCCATATTTCAATAGATCGCTAGAAATTGAATCGAATAATGCTTTGATTTTAGCAATTCGAGGAGAAACTTATATGTTCTTGGGTAAATATTACGAAGCACTTTCAGATTTTAATAAATCATTAGAAATTGAGCCGTGTAATGCTTGGGCATTAATGAACCGCGGAATAGCATATTTATCGCTGACAAAGTATAATGAAGCACTTTCTGATTTTAATAAATCATTAGAAATTGAGTCGGGTAATGCATGGACATTAATGAATCGCGGAATAACTTATTTATCGCTGATAAAGTATAATGAAGCACTTTCTGATTTTAATAAATCTATTGAAATCAACTCGACTGCACTTCACAATCACAGAACAACATATACATATTTGGATAAATTTAATGCTTTGGTACTTAAATACCGTGGGGAAACTTATTATAATTTAGGGAAATACAATGAAGCACTTTTAGATTTAAACAGAACATTAGAAATCAGTCCAAACGATGTCTTGACGCTCAAAGTGCGTGGAATGACGCACCTTTTTCTAAATAAATGTGAAAACGCGATTTCTGATTTTAACACATTATTGAAAATAAAACCCCATGATTCCTGGACGCTAAGTAACCGTGCTGCAGCATATTCGATTTTGGGCAGATATGATGATGCAATTTTGGATTTTAACAAATCTCTAGAAGTTGAACCAAACAATGCCAAATGGTTGAATAATCGCGGAACGACATATAGGATGTTAGGTAAATATGATAAGGCGTTGTTAGACATCAACAGATCACTTGAAATTGATCCCGACAATGCTGCAATACTAAATAATCGTGGAACAACTTATATGAAGATGGGTAAATTTAATGAAGGACGTTATGACATTAATAGATCCCTTGAAATTGGACGAAATTGTGAAAATATTCAAATCGTATCTAAAAATTGCGAAAACATTCAGCTACTATCTAAACATTGCGAAGGAAATGTTCTTACATTAATAGATCGTGCGAAAGCTTATTACTTAATAGGTAAATATGAAGAGGCGCTTTCTGATTTTAATAGAGTACTGGAAATAGAACCGACTAATGATCTAGCATTAAGGAGCCGTGGAGAAATTTACAAACGACTGAAAAAATATGCGGAGGCATTATTAGACTTTGATAAATTACTAGAATTAAAGCCAGATGATACTGATGTTCTAACCAGTCGTGGGACAGCCTATATTGAGATTGGCAAATATGTTGAAGCAATTTCAGATTTTAATAAATTCTTAGATATAGAGCCGAATAATACCGATGTGTTAGCCAGTCGTGGGACAAGCTATTTGAATATGGGTAAATTCGTCGAGGCAATTTCAGATTTAAATAAATTTTTGGAAATAAAGCATGACACCAATATATTAACTAATCGTGCGGTATCCTATGCATATATGGGCAATTATAACGAATCGATATTTGATTTGAACAGATTGTTGGGAATAAATCCTAATAATACTTCTGCATTAAAATTGCGTGGTAAATGCTATATTATTTTAGATAACTTTAATGGCGCACTTTCTGATTTTAATAGAATACTAGAAATAATACCAAACGATGCCTATGCATTAATGTATCGCGGAGTAATTTATATAAAATTAGGTAAACGCGAAGAGGCTCTTTCAAATCTAAATAATTCACTGAAAATAGAGCCAGGTAATGCTGAAGCATTGGTCTATCGTGGATTAATTTATATAGAATTGTCGAGATATGATGAAGCAAGCTTTGATCTCAATATGTCTCTTAAATCGAAATATTATGATACCTTTACGTTACTTAATCGTGGAAATGCATATTTTAAATTACATAAATATGATGAAGCACTCTCAGATTTCAACAAATTCCTGGAAATCGTGCCGGACGATCCAAAAATATTAATCATGCGTGCAAGGACTTATAAGTTATTGAAAAAGTTTGAAGAAGCGCTTTCAGATTTCAATAAATCTTTAGAGATTAAACCAGACAATTTAGAAGTATTATGTGAACGTGGAGCAATTTATGTAATATTAGATAAATATGATAATGCTATAAAGGATTTCGATAAAATACTGAATGCAAATTCAAGTAATGTAGAAGCATTAATACGCCGCGGAGAAGCTTATAAAATGTCAAATGAATATGAAAAGGCCCTTTTTGATTTTGACAAATCATTAAAATTAGAACCAAATAATACTTACGCATTACGTGATCGCGGAGAAACTTATACAATGCTAAAGGAATATGACAAGGCACTTTCAGATTTTAGTAGTTGTCTGGAATTAAGACCAAAAAATGATACTTGGAATATATCAACATTATTTAATCGGGCACGTATATACGGAATAATGGGTAGATTTGAGGAGACACTTTCAGATTATGATAAACTATTGGTATTAGCACCAAAAAATTTTCTCGCTGCTACACTAATGGAACGCGCAGGCATTTACGATAGAATGGATAGATATGATGAAGCACTTTCAGATTATAGTAAGCTATTGGCGTTGACGCCAAAAAATCTTTACGTGTTGCTTAGACGTTCAGAAATTTATTTTATGCTTGACAAACATATTGAAGCACTTTCAGATGTAAATAAATCATTAGAAATAAAACAAAACAATGTAGATGCATTGAAGCAACGTATAAGGTGCTATAAAATTCTAGGCGAATTTGATAAAATGCTTTTAGATGCTAACGTATTATTGGAAATAAATCCAAATTGTTTCGAGACATTACATACTCGGGGAGTTGCATATAAAAAAATGGGTAAATATAATGAAGCATATTTAGATCTTAAAAGATCATTGGATATCAAACCTGATTTTGGCGATGCTGTATTGGAATTTACAATAGTTAAAACGATCATTAACGGCCACAGCGAATTTAATGGTAATAGATTAATCATACCTTATAATGAACTTCAAGATATTAGAATTTTGAATGAAGGTGGGTTTGGCAAAATTTATCAAGCCATTTGGGTGAATAAGTTAGGAGTGGAAAGAAAGGTAGCTCTCAAGTATTTAAAATCTTCAAAAGGTTATTCTGTAGATATTATAAATGAGGTAAGTGCATTTATTTTTCAAAATATTTTTGGTTTTCTATTTAATATATAACTTATATATATAACTTATATATATATTTTTTTTAATACAAATATAAAAGTTAATTTCATTTGAAATAACACGCTATGACAATTACATTTTACATTATTACGGCCTTACACTTACGGAAAATTCGAGATTGCAAAAAATTTATATAGTGATGGAATATGCTGAAGGTGGAAACTTGTTAGATAGCCTGTCAGAAAGTTATAAAGATATTTTGTGGCAAAAGAGACTCGCAAGACTACAATCAATCATAATAGGGTATATAATAAATAATTTATTTTATTAATTTCATTTACTAATTTAACAGATAACATCAGTTAACAATTTAATTTTTACACAGATTGACACAGATTCATGAACATGGATTAATACATCGTGACTTGCATTCAAAAAATATATTAATTTGCAAAAATGGAGACCAAGAATTAATTAAAATTGGAGATTTTGGATTAACAACTTTTGCCAATGTACCAGAATCCAAAGTACCAAAAAATACAATTTATGGTATGTTACCTTATACTGACCCAGTAGTATTTATCGGAAAGCCATACACTCAAAGATCCGATGTATATAGTTTTGGTATTATTATGGCAGAAATGTCAAATGGCAAAAAGGCTTTTGATGATTACAAATTTTATTCTGATTCTGAGCTTGCGACAAAGATTTTTTTCGGACTGCGGCCAAAATTTGCTAATGGAACTCCAAAATGCTATATTGAGTTGGCTAAACAATGCATGTATTTAGATCCCCAAAAAAGACCCACTGCTAATGATATCCGTTTGAAAATTGATCAATTGTGCGAAATTATGAAATCTGAAAAAATTGATGATATAAAAAGGGAGTTTCATAATGCTGACCAAATAATTAAAAGTTTACCAGACAAGCTACCTGAATATTTGGATTCTAATAGTAGATCCATTACTCTAAATTTATCAAAATATTTGGATCCCTCACACCGTTTCGAAATTTTAAAGCCAGAAGAATTCATTTGCTAATAATGAAAATTTGACATTTTCTAAAGGCATGCTAAATTTGGCTTTCAACTATAAAAAGTGATAAAAGCTCATTTTTAATTAAATTATTTTTTGAAATTTCAAACTTAAAGAATAATTTTTTAAAGACAATATTCATATTAATTATGCACTAACTGACCTCCTTGAATGCAATATTGTGAGGGAACCATTGGTTAGAAAAATTAGTAAGCATGTGTTTAAAGAATTCAAAAAACATTGTCCAATTAACTAAGGCCAAGTAAAAACTTGCGATAGTATTTGCATTTTGGAACATTACTTAAGAGATTTGATTGCTCTTTTGATGATTTTTTTCTATTTATGTTCTATTCTTTTTATATATAAGTTATGTGTCATTTATTGATTCCTGTCAATTTGGAATCGACATGTGTCATTTGTTAATCATTGAATAATGTATGTCGTTTTGGAATTGGTACAGTTGAAGCTTTATCGATTAATTAAAAATTATTTATTTTTATATAAACAATATTTATTATATAACGATGAAATAAAAATTAAATGCTTAAAAAAAAAAAGAAAAAAATGTAACACTTTATTTATTTCTAATTAATAATTCATCATTTAAAAATTATTCTTGAAATAAAGATAAATGAGCCTTGTTTAAAAAAAAATTATTTTTATTACAATTGGCAAAACGTATGCACATCGGTGAACATTTTAACTTAGTATTCTTAACCTTAATTACTTAGTAGGCTTTTGAGATATAGCAATACTGATGATGATTACCAGTGGTGATAAATAGCAAACTTCTTAATATTATAGGTAAAATATATAAGATGTAATTATAATAAAATTTAAAAAAAAATTGGTATTAAAAATTAACAGATTTTTGCAACATAAAAATATTCAAACTATAGAAGATCGACTATAACAATTGTTAATTTAATACAGTAAATTAATCGTACTCTAACCCTAAAAAAGTAAAAAAATTTACACATTTTCTTAATAATATGTGAATTGCGAAAAATCACGTAGTAGGGAAAATTTCTTGTGGGAGATCTACTAATAATCAAATTTAGTGGATCAAGTTTTGCCCAGTTTCGGACATTTCGCCCAGTTTCGAACGTTTCGCCTAGTTCGGACATGCTACTATTTTGTGTTCCAACTATTTTCTCTTACGAATATTAATTTATGCATGAAATCCGCCCGCAGTTGTACGTACCATGCTCATACTTCTATATATTTATGTAATATAAAACTTAAAACTACGATAATTAGCATACTTTATTACTATTTAAAAGTCAAGTGATTTCATGGACATCCATGTCCGCGAAATACGTAATGTCATAGTGTTAACTACTTTCATATAAATACATTCTAATCGAACTTCTATTTTTTATCTGTACCGTCAGCGTAAGCGACGAGTTACATACTAGTCGTTATATAAAACAAAAAAAAACAATATGCTGATCGTCATGGCCAGAAGGATAATACCGTTACTGGCCGAACAAGCTACCAATAACTATATACTATTCTATTCATATTGAGACTGTCATCTAGTAAAATGCGTTTCAGGTCAATATATGAATTCTCTTTATTTTAAAAAATTTCTCGTATTATTCAGTTCAAAGTACAAGAATTAAATGTAAATTTTCTGAGAAGATGCAGTTAATAAAAATTGGCCCAACTAAAAAAACTGTGCTTAACTTTTAAAAGTAGGAAATCTAATGATATATTCTCAAAAAAATATTAACCATTGTAAAAAAATTCCGAAAATAACAGATTATCATTAGTGAGATCACACAGAGAATTCTCATAGGAGAAAAATATTCATAAACTCTGTGAGATGATATTAATTGATTCTACCAAAATTATGCTACCAGAGTTACAAATTAATTTATTAAATTATGTTCACCAGAGTTATGAATTAATTCTACTGACATTATGTTTACCAGAATTACGGATTTATTCTACCAAAATTATATTTACCAGAGTTACGAATTAATTCTACCAACATTATATTTACTAAAGTTCGAATTAATTCTACCAAAATTATGTTTACCAAAGTTGTGAATTAAATTCTACCAAAATTATGTCTATCAAAGTTACAAATTAATTTTACTAAATTATGGTTACTAGAGTTAAAATTAATGTTACTGATGATGATAGTAGCAATAAAACTATTAATGATGAAATGAACTTACCTTCCACTAAACGCATATGTAGAGCAACAAGTAAAAATGCAAAAGAAATTCTTACTCGATTGCTTACTCATACTACTTTTTCTGATGATGGTCAATTACTATATAATGTTCTTCATGAACTTCAAGACATAGAATCAGGTTGGACTAAGGAACGTGCCATGATATATTAGTGGAACCATCACAATAAAAATAAGCAAAACTGTAACTAATACATAAAACTACAAAATGTAGACTAATATAATGCTAAGGATAAAAAAAATTATTTGAATAATATTTAAATCTGCAGGAAAGAAAATTCTAAAGTACAATTATTCATTGAACTCTAAATACTATGAAATGTAAATGAAAATTATGATTAGTAGTAATAATAAGGTTATAAGTAAAGTATGCTTCATTTTCAAAATTAATTACTTTTCATATCTTATGAGACCGTTAGAATTAAATAAAGAATTTTAAACAAAATAACCTAAATTGTTTTTGCATATAATTTGCAGATAATGTGATACTTGTATCTAAAAAATAATTAAATTATTAGTTAGATGCTAGGTGAAGTTAAGGAAAAATTATTTGACTTATCTTACTTTTTTTAAAAAAAAAAGCACAGAAAAAAAATCTTCAAACTTAGTAAACTAAAATCATTCCTAGTGCTAGCATATTATTTAACATTAATACATAAAACCTACATTAACTAATTTTATTGATAATAAATAAATTAATGCTTTATGATTATTCTTTTTAATTCCAGTTCTTTTATCATAACAATAAACAGCATTGTGTATTTCACTGATTTTTGTCCTATGCTTTTCAACTCTAATTCCATTTTTATAACAGTACTAAGTGCAAATATTTTACTAGCATGTCTCATTTCTGCAAATATTCACAAGTGTGTACTGTCTTTTGACAATAAATATATACTGTATCTTGGATTTCATGATTACAGTTGTTAGGCAAAACTATTTTTGGTAGATGGCAAAAGTCAAAACTTGGCAAAACTTTGGCAAAATGGCAAAACTTTGGCAAAATGGCAAAACTCTGGCAAAATGGCAAAACCCTGGCAAAATGGCAAAACTTTGATAAAATGAAAAAATGGTGAAATTTCAGCAAAACATCTAAAATTCTTAAAAAAGGTCAAGCACTATGAGGTTCAACTCCTCTAAGCTCTGGAAGGACTGAGCCACATTGGTAAATCAAAATATTTTGTGTGTGGCTATTAAGCACAGCACTTGGCTTATATACAAATGTGCAAAAGTAATAAACAAAGCAATAGCCTTTCATTGTATTTGAGTTAGAGATTGGACCCATTGAGAAAATCTCTACCCAGGTATTATTAGATTACCTGAGTTATCCAGATAAATTATTATGTATTTCAGGTAATCTTATAGCAACTATTTCTAACCGGGTCCAATCCCTAATTTTATAATTATTAAAAGAAAACTAGAATTCAGCTTTTGAACTAATAAACCAATTTAGCCTTGAAAATCAAAACCTGAAATTCTGTTTTCTTTAATTAACACTTATCCATGTATTAATATTATTTGTATAAATAAATTTACTTAAATATTTTAATAAATTTATTGCTATATTGTTAAGATTTTTTTATTATTTCATCATTAAAGCTTTAATACATATGTAAGTAACTTGTTAATATTATTACTACATGTAATTATTTCTTGTTAGATCAAATATAGTAAATTTTATTAGGGTTTATGGAGTTCTACTATACATAGTATCAGAAGTTTTAACAGAAGAAAGATATATATCATCATCAGATATTATTCATTTGGTATAATTATGTGGGAAATTTTATATAGCCAACTGATTGCTTATGATTAAGAAATTTGACTGGAACTTCAAACAAAAATAGGGTAGTCTAGATTATAGTTGTTAGGTGAAACTGTTTTTCACAAATAGCAAAACACGAAACCTAAATCTGGCAAAACATAAAACTTGGTGAAACTAAGATGAATGGCAAAACCCTTGGCAAATGGCGAAACCTCTAGCAAATGGTGAAACTCCTAATGAATGGCGAAACCCCCAGAGAAAGACGAAGTTCAAGCTCTCAGCAAGTTTAATTCTCTAAGGCTTTGGAAAAGACTGAGCCATGTTGGAGAATGAAATATATGCATCTATTAAGCATTGCATGTGTGCATATGATTCATATAAAATATATGTACATATGCATGTGGCTATTAAGCACAACATGTAGCTCATACAAAGAAGCCATGTTGAATTAAATATTTACATGTGCTATCAAGCACAGTGTATAGCTTATATGAAGAAATATACCTGAGCATGTTGGTTAGTGAAATATTTGTGTATAGTTATTAAGTACAGCATGGGTTTATATAAAAAAATATATCAAAGCAAAAAAAAAGGATTGCTTTGTGTTGTATTTGAGCACTTTTAGATTTCTAGGCTTTGAACTTATAATCAAATTAGAATTCTATTATCCATTTATCTATTTATCTATCGAATACCAAGGATCTGAATTTATTTGGATATCTGTTTTACTATTGATATCTAGATATCAATAGTAAATAGATATTACATAAATTTAGATACGGATAAATAGATAGTGGATTTATCTGGATTGGAACTCTAAATCAAATCAACTCTAAAAATTCTAAGCATGAAATCTTTTAATGTTTTGTTGTCTAAACTTTAAGTACCATATATATGTAAGTAGTTTATTAATATTATTATTACTTACAATTATTTCTTGGTGAAACTTAAAGGTAACTTTAATTGTCAGAGAAATAATTGTCATATTATCGACTTATAATAAATCAAATATAGTAAAATTTAAAGCGTTAGAAATAAAAAAACATTATGAATATGTGTGTGTTAAATTAAAATTTGCATTAGACTAAAATTTAAATATTAGAGTTGAGATAAAAGTCTATGTTAAATAAATAATTAAATCTGTTATTATTATTAAAGGAAGAGTTAAAACAATTAGATTCTAAAAATAATAAGTTAAGATAGAATATATATAATAATTGCATTTAAAAGCGAAAATAAAAAAGATTTATAATCCTCACTGTTAATATTTAAAAAAAAAAAAAAAAAAATATTTATAACAAAATATTTAATAATAAAAAAAATAATTTAGAAGATACTAATGTATTTAATGAACTTGGATACAATTATCATCATGGAATAGGTGTTGAAAAAGATGAAAATAAAACATTTTTCATTATCAAAAATCTGCTAAAATAGAAAATGTGAATGCAATAAATAATGTTGGATAGTGTTATGAACTGAGCAAAATGATGAAAAAACTTCAAGTGCTTTGATTAAAAAATTTATTAAACATTTGCCCAATATCTTAAAAAAAATAATTTAGTTTTGACAGAAAAACTTCTTTATTTAGTGATGGGAAATTTAGATAATTTTATTTATTTCTTGGCACAAATTAATTCTGAAATGTCTTGCAGACCAAACAAGCTAGTTTAAGTAGTGTAGATTTATCTCAACATTAGATTACCTAATAGGCATTCTGGTAAAAGCAAGCAAGCAAAAATTGATGAACAAGGACATTAGCAATCAGGTCAATGCAGAAGCTAAAAAAGATGAAAAAATTTATTTCTTACAGAAAATAATAGGAGAGGCACAAAAGGAATTCCAAAAATTAGAAGGTCCCGATATGGTATAGGCATTGAAAAGGATGAAACTAAGGCATTTATTCATTATCAAAAATCTGCTGAAATAGGAAATGCAAGTGCAATGAATAATATTGGAGGCTGTTATTAAAACAGAATAGGAGTTGAAAAGGATGAAAATAAGACATATATTCATTATCAAAAATCTGCTGAAATGGGAAATGCAAATGCAATATATTATCTTGAACATTGTTATCAAAATGGAATAAAAGTTGAAAAGAATGAAAATAAGGCATTTATTCATTATCAAAAACCTGGTTAAATGGAAAATGTGAGTTCAATAAATAATATTGAAAGCTGCAATCAAAAGGAATAAGAGTTGAAAAAGGATGAAATGAAGGCATTTATTCATTATCAAAAATCTGCTTAAATAAGAAATGTGAGTGCAATGTATTGTCTTGAACATTGTTACCAAAATGAAATATGAGTTGAAAAGGATGAAAATCAGGCATTTATTCATTATTAAAAATCTGCTGAAATGGGAAATGTGAGTGCAACATATAGTCTTGGAAATTGTTATCAATAAGGAATAGGAATTGAAAAGAATAAAATAAGACATTTGCCTATTATCAAAATTCAGCAAATATGGGCTATCTTAATGGAATGTCTCAAGTTGGTTATTGTTATCAAAACAGAATTGGAGTACCAAAAGATTTGCAGAAAGCTAATTATTGGCATAAAATGTAAATAATTTATTCATCTACTTATTTATTTTTTATAGATAATTGTAATTTTATAACATTATTTTTCAAATCATAACTAGGAAAAAAGATAAGAAATTAGGTAATTTAAATTCTTATTATTTGATTCATTTTTGAAATTATTTAAGATTTACTAATTGATATTTTTAGATGCAAATGACTTAACACATAAAAATTTTGATATTGATGATAATATAAAAAAATTCATTGTTAAACTTATTAATACATATTATCTTAGTTAAATAAATTATTTTATTTATAAATATTAGAGCATGTAAGAAAATGTTGTAATTAGTTGTTATTATGATGAATTACAACAAATAATGTCATAATTCATTATAATTATAACCAATTATGACATTGTGCTCATCTTTTTATATGATTAAAACCAAGAAAAAATAATTTAGACTTATTATTTTTCAAATCACTCATTATTGCATAATATAATAACAAACATTGTAATGAATCAATTAACATTACCAAAATAGTATCAGTCAGGATTTTAACCAGTCAGTCATAACTGTAACTGACCCACCCCTACCTATCAGGATGATAGTTAGAAAAATTCATATTCAGATTAATGTTGCATATAGTTAAACTTTATTGACATGTTTATTTATACTTATGTGCTTTTATTGGTATTTTTATTTGCACTTTAACAATACTCTCGAATTTTGCATTGATATAGAAGGTTTGCATGAAGCAGCAGAGACAGAATACCTATAATTGTATTTCATTGTATTTATTGTTAAGTACCTTCTCAATAAGAAACAAAATACCTTTTTTCAGTTTTATTACCTTTTGCCAGTTTTGTCATCTTTTGCCAGTTTTGCCATCTTTCATCAGTTTTGCTACCTTTCACCAGTTTCACCA